ATCGAGAAATGTAATAAACTATAACCAAAATGAGGCAGATAAATCTGGTGCGAGAAAGGTACCCATTAACTCTTCTGGGATGGAGGTCTTAATAATTGGCAAAAGGTAGAGAGAACACTGAAGAATGCGGTATATATGGGCCAAGGTTTGACTTTTATGGAACTACCTCCACACTAGAAATTTGAAATTTGGAATCACCTGAGTACATAATCTATTTGAGGATGGGGGAATGGATAGTCCGCCATTTGGTAAGGCATAATGTAATCTTACCTTATCGAAGCTATGTGTTAATTATCAAGGTAGGATGTGCTCTCTCCTGGTCTAAATTCGAAACAGGAGAGACAATGTGAAAGCACTTCATAATCTTTCCCATGAAGTTATGGCAATTCTTATGTTATTAAAAGGGGTTTTTTTTTGTTAATCTATTCACTTAAAGAAGGCGGTAATGCCACTAAGATGCAAATGACTACTGGGTGTGAAAGAGAATAGAAAATACTTCACAAGGAACCGGAAACCCAATCCTAATCAAGGAGCAAAAGATAAACCTCTACCCCTGTTAAAAAGACCAGGAAGGTGTGTGAATAGGGCGATGGGTAAACTTGAAAACAGCCATGTTTGCGTACATACTGAAGTTTAGAGAAAAAAATGAAATGATTATATACGACATTCATTCAAGTATTTCAATTTATTTAGTTTGAATTTACACGTATTTGTGGGGAACAATAAAACTGATAGTTTTACAATATTCACCAATGAATTTTTGTTGATTTACATTATTCGGACTGTTATCCTCATCTTCATTGCTATATTCACAAAGCACCCAAGTCGCCCATATTTGGGGCGATCGTAAAGATCAACCCAACTGGAGTGCAATGGAAGGTCCTCGCTCTGGGAGAATATGGTGTGAATTTTAGTAAATGTAAATTCTTTTTATTATGGAGCGAATTAATATTTTGAGGTGATTTTTCTTCTTTTTTTTAATGTTGGTTGGTTGGTTTTGTTTTATGGCATATCAACCTTAGTGGGTTATTTAATGCCAAAAAAAAATTTGCAATAGATTCATGTCGATAGTTTGATAAAAAAGGTGTGTATGCATACATATATATTTGAACCATTTTTTATTACTGTATTTCTGGTATTAAAACCTATTTTTACACAAGTAAAAGTGTTAATATTTACCCATAGCTGGAACCTTAACAGGTGCTACCACCCCGGGTCAGGGTGGACCTGAGAACACTAGCAATTAAGAATTGGTTCCACGCTCCTCAAAACCTCCTGATCAAATGCTGTTGGACATAGTTTATCATCATACCCAAGACGTTCTTTTTTTTTTAATTGTAAAAAGAAATAATATCAAGTACTATCTGCAATTACGAAATGTAAATAACTCCCTGATTTTTGATAATTTTTATTCTGAAGGTTAAAGTTGCTCCAAGGCAAGCTAAACAAATTATGATATAAAATTTATGATTTCATGAATGCCAAAGAATTAATAAAACAACAAATTTTAATTTAATATTTATAATTTCAAAAGAGTGCCAAAAATTAATAAAAAACATTTTGATTTCAAATTTGTAATTTCTTGAGGTGAATTAATATTTGTGGTAAGTAACTTTACATTATTTGGGGTGAATCAACAGAAAAGTTCCCATGGATAATTTTGGTTGAAAATGGTTAACGGTTATCGGTAACGGAAAACCATAACACTCGAATCAAGTTCGAATCGCAGATGCTACTCCTTATGCGACAGAATTCGAAACAACTAATGGGAAAGAACAAATAAGAAGACATTAAAGCAGTGCTTCGTTGGCGAAATTCCTTTTGGCCGGTTTCTCTACAAACTAAATAACGCCGTCGGCTATTGTCCGACTCTAATTTTGCCAGTCAAGACAGACTGACTCACTGAACAAAATTATTTTTTCCTTTCTACTCTTGTGTTTACAATGTTTTTCAACGATTTCTTTCTTATGTTTATATTACTACAATAAGCGAAATTTTGTAACTGTTAGCCTGAAAAATGAATCCAATGAACAGTGTTCGAATTCTGTCTGAGCCACTTTATGATCGCTACTTTCTAATAGCCTCTAAAAGGGCACGAACCTATTTGATCACTTCTCTCTTTTTTTTCTCGAGTTCTAAAAAGAATATGCAATATTATCTGTCCCAACCTGGCATCTTAGTTTCACCCACATTCCCATCGCTCTAAAAGGGATTCCCTATACTTTTTCTATAATTATTTACATGGCAATTGTTCTGATGAACTTCAAATTTAAGCGCACTACTTAATTGGCAGCTAGATTTCACCATTTTACTGTCGAAATTGCTGGATAGAGGCGTAAGTTCTATGTTATTAGTACTTTGTCCTCTCACGCTTCTCTTTTCTGAAATCCTCTTCCTGTTTTCTTGTCAACTAAGAGCTTGAAAAATTATACTACAACGTCAGTCACCATCATCTCTCTCTTTAAATTCTGTTCTTTTATTGTCCTTTCTACTCGTTAACATTTCTCCATTTCTTTCACTCTCGGTAACTCCTTTGGGTTTTAGTGACGTTTTATCGCGTTGCTTGATGGGAACTTTTTAAATCTCACGTTCGTGGCATGCCGTGACACATAACAGAGTGCGTAAAATCATTAGCAAACCTCTCTCTTATTACTTCCTTACTAGCTTAGAAATAGCAAAAAGCTTTTTGTCTTTTCCTCGCCTTGACATGCTATCATATTTCAAGCTCATTCAGAAGATATTTCCAGATCTAAGATGTTCCACTCTCTCAAGTATAAGCGCACAGAGATTTTCTAGATTGCCAATGATGAGATGTTGGAATAACTACCAGGAAGACAAAGAAGTGATGTAAACAAAGAAGGATGACTTAAAGCAATAGAAGACAGAAAGTTCGGGAGAATCGTCATTGCCCTGAAAGAATATGACCAATAGAAAAAAGTACACGAAGTAGTTTATTTTAGCGAAGAACTGAATCAACAAAATGTAAAAATAAACAGAAGCAAGAGATATTGTTTACTCTTCCGACACGAAAATGTTATCTTAGCGCATGCGTGTTTCAATATAATCGCCTTTTTAAGCAAAAAAGGAGGCTAAGATTCGTGCGTAAATGTCTTTATGGCTAAAGAAAGCCATTCTGCGAAGGTGGACTACGAAATGCAAAATGTAAAATAAGAATGGACAAGGTTACATTTGTTTTCGGTTAATTTTTTTCTTTAATTTCAATAACAGGAGAAATTAAGAGAATCGTTTTTAAAAAAAATATGGACGTTAAGTTATTTTTAATTTTTTCTTTAGTTTTTCTAGCAAACAGAAGTAAAAAAAATGTCATAAAAACCATGGGACTTGTCGCTCGGTTGAAATAGCAACACGCGTCCCATTAGAGCCTAAGATGGATGCTCATAGTCCAGGTAAATGCTGATTTTACAAGTAGGTAATCTCTCCTCACTTTCAAGATTCGCATAAAAGAATCTATTTTACTTTTCCTTGCTATTTTCATCTCATGTTGTTATTAGTTTTTATTTAGTTCTTACTTAATAACGGTTATCGTAGAAAATGGATCCAATGTCCGGAGTTCCAATTCAGATTGGCTATTTCATTCACTTTCGTATTAATGTACTCAGACATAAACACGTCTTTCTCCAGTCATAGATTAAATGGCAATATAGAGTGGGTTTTCTTGCCTTGAATAACAGTCAGCCTAACATAAGGACAATTCTGAAATCTAAACTAGTCTGATTAGGGAAGGTATTCATCAGACAGTCTTGCCCTATACACACGAAATATGACTACAGTACATGTGGTACTCAAATATCTTCATGGATTACAAGATCATGATTGCTTTAGTTTGTTGTGTTTTACGGTATATCAACCTCAATTGGTTATTTAATGCCGACACTTTTTTTTTATATTTTTTTTGTCCAAAATCTATTTCTGGTAATATTTTTTCCTTAAAAATGTATAGCTGGTAATATCATTTTAAAACATGTATTGCTGGTAATATTATTTTCCAAAAATATATTGCTGGTAATATTTTTTTCAAGAATATATTGTTGGTAATAGCTTTTTTTTTTTCTTCAAAAATATATTTCTGGTAATAAATTTTTACAAAGTATTTCTGGTATTAAAACCTATTTTTACACTTTTATAATGCTTTTTACCTCAGTTTAGAGGTTAACTACTTGCCCATAGCTGGGACCCTAACCGGTTCTACCAACCCGGGTCAGGGTGGGCCTGGGAACACCAGCAATTAAGAGTTGGTTCCACGCTCCTCAAAACCTCCTAATCAGAGACCTTGCTGCTGGACGTAGTTTATCGTCTTACCGAGGACGCGGATGTAGTTTATCGACATACACAGGACTCATTATGATTGAAATACTATTTTGTTAAAGTTGCTTTTATTACAACGCTCTAACCCAATGCAATATCGCTCATGACTACCATTTTATGCCTTAGTTCTCCATCTTATTGCTTATTTTATAGTTATCACAATACTTAGGATCGAAACACTCACCTATCGCTAGTGCAAATAGAGGAAAACGGAAATAAAATTCCAAATGGAGTTGAAGTGTATGGTGTGCATGTTTCATGGGCGTTGCTTCAATCATTTCGAACACAGAAACTTCAAAGTTTATGCTACATAAAAATGTATACTCATTATGCTACTTCTTCCTCATTGATTCTCTGCGACGTCTTTCTTTTACGATCTAATCACAAGGTAGATTAAGCTATTAGTAAAATTATATTAAAATACGCCATCCAATATACTTGGTAGGTCGGTTTGACGGCATCTTTATAGATTTAATCATGGAGACGTAGTTAAGTCTGATCAAATAACAGCAGGATTTTTCCATTTCTTCTTAACCATAGTGCTAATTTTCTATTTTGAAAAATGGCAGTGGTAGACTTAGGATCAGAATTAAAGTCTATCCCAATAGAATTGGGGTTGGGGACGATGCATGGTTGTTTACGTATATGTGGTGGGGGTGTATGGAGATTGGGGATTATGTGAGGCAACGGACGGAAAGAAGGAATTTCATCAGAGGTAAATAGAAATGATGGTAGAACAATGCTAGAAAAGAAAAATGATTGAAATAGCGAAAGAGAGATAGAGAAAGAGTGGGCAAAAGATAGAGAAAAGAAAGAAAGAAAGAAAGAAAGAAAGAAAGAAAGAAAGAACATGAATGAAATAGCGAGAGAGAGTGGGCATGAAGACAAAGAAAGAAAGAAAGAAAGAAAGAAAGAAAGAAAGAAAGAAAGAAAGAAAGAAAGAAAAAGAAAATGAATGAAATAGTGAGAGAGAGTGGGAAAGAAGAGAGAGAAACAAGAAGGGTGAGAAGGCAAGAAGAAAGAAAAGAAAGAAAGAAAGAAAGAAAGAAAATGAATGAAATAGTGAGAGAGTGAGCAAGAAGAGAAACAAGAGGGGTGAGAAGGCAAGAAGAAAGAAACAGAGAAAGAAAGAAAAAATGAATGAAATAGCGAGAGAGAGTGGGCAAGAAGAAAGAGGAACAAGAAAGAAAGAAAGAAAGAAAGAAAGAAAGAAGAAAGAAAGAAAATGATTGAAACAGCACGAGAGATATTGGGCATGAAGAGAGAGAAACAAGAAGAGAGCGAGAGAGAGAAAATGCAAGAAGAAATAATAATAAATAGTGACTGTTATTGATATTGCTATATATTCAGTCAACTGACGTGAGTAAATAAAAATCTGAAGAAAAGATCACTTCTACCGTCGGTTGAAATTTATAAATCTTTCAATTAAAGCAATTATTTTTTAAAAAATATGTTCCTGGAATCACTTAATTTTTATCACTATTTCCAGTCTTGAGAAAGGCTTACCGGATATCCTTTTCTCTTGGAGTAGTGGGAAACGCCAGCATCGTGAGTATGTCATTAGTTTCCCTTTCAGTTAGGTATGCCATCCATTTTAGTTGATGCCGCTATTGAAACTCATCCAGTGATGTGGTTTCTGTTATTTGGTAAAGTGCTTTGTTCGTGTTTCTGGGCCGACGTGTTTCGAAGTAAAATGTTGCTCGCTACTAGCTACAGTCTTCATACACTAAAAAACGACCATCAATCTGAGAAAATGGTTTTGAATATCTGATAAGCCATTAATGTCAGTAACCGTCTGGGTAGAATTTGTGTGGTAATAGGCAAGTAACAGTGGCTCAAATTCCCATTCCCAGTCAAGTCCTGAAGTTTTCACGAAAAATATGAACGTCTTGTGTGGTTGCCTTTTCTACACCCCCACTTCGCCCACTTTACGTTCAAAAAGAATGGATCGGGTGGTGGCACTCCCCGGTATCCTTCAAATTAACTATTTCGTAAAGATCGAGTTAACCTTTGGCAACACATAGCACCCGGAAGTCACTCTTGCAATAATTATGGTGAAGACATCGATAGCAGGATGTTAGGTAAGGACAATGTCAGAAATTAACAGACCAGATTTAGCACTGAACTGTAATAGTGTCATGCAAAAGGTCCGTCATACTGTACAATGGATTATGCCTAATTATTCCAAATCAGACAGAAACTAAGGAAACACATTTGTGTCTCTTAATACATGCCAAACCAAAATTTCTATTGATGACGTACCTGGGTCCGACGGACGATCTAATCAGTTAGTTCGTAAAGATGGTGGCAATTTTTAAATGATATATGAAACATTATTTACACTAGGGAATCTTCTGATGTCAGCTTTACCCAACACTCATATCTTACTCCACCGGCAGTTACTATGACCTGCCAGTGACAGATTTTATATCAAGATGTCTGGAGAATAGAGAGAGCAAACAGATAAATGGAACAGTGCCTTTTCCAATAGCATTGCTGCGAAGGGAATATAAAGAAAATGTCGGCCAGAGTTTGAACTCGGTTCATTGATACCGTTTTTCTTGCTAAGTTACACATTTTCGCGCCTACCGGTCATACAAACGAAAAGAACGAGCCGTAATAAGAGAAATCCGCAAACACAAGGAAGAAATGAAAAAAAAAATTAATTTCGTTCAGTGAGTCACTGTGTCTCGATGTCGAAGTAGAGCGGGCCTTTTTAATGCTAAAGTTCGGACCATAGCCGACGGCGTTGTTTGGTTTATAGAGAAACTAGCCAAGAAGGAATTTCGCCAAGGAAGGACTGCTTGCAGTTTTTCGTATTTGTTCTTAGCCGTTATTTGCTCTCGAAATTTGTAAGCAGAAATTGGAAATCGAACTCAGTCCGACGCTTCGGTTTTTCGTATCTAATAGGCATTATACTGTCCTAACCGAGGTTCTGCGTTATTTTCTGAAAAGCCTTTTACTTGCTCATCGATAGGTATATTTTATGACATTATACGCAGGATGTTTTGTTCATTCGAACAAAAGATTAAATGGGAACCTCACCAGTCGTATTTTCATTCAATCTTGAAAAATAATCGTAGTTAAAAGAAATAAAAATCATTACTTGCAAGTTGTTTGCTACTCAAGAACTATGGTCGCTGCCATAATCCCCACCCACTTCTAATTTACTTTCCCACTATCGATATTACTAAATATACAACTATAGCACAGCATATTGTAAAATGTGTGCCACACGTAAAATGCAAAATAGTAAGAAATTATGTACAATGAAAACAACTGACAAGACCGCCATAATAATGTAACTTCGTATTGCGAATAAATGGCAGATTCAACAATTATGTACACCGAATATAACTGCTCAGTAACACCTCTTAATCTCAAACAGATGTACAAGGTATTTGGAAAATATCGAAAAATGTAAATTAATTTTGCTACAAGGAATTAACTTGTATCACTCAAAGAAACGTAATAGTTGATGGCGGTCTGGATACATTACTGTGTCGCACATAGTTGGACATTTAATTATTTCCAATGACTTACATGCGGTACAGACACATCAATAAGTAATATAACAATTTGCAACAGGAAATTCATAAAGATATATGACTCATTCGGAATCATATTATTTCGCTAAGCAGAGAAACAAGTTCTACCCGAAAATTGGCGCTAAGGCAACGCATTAACATACACTGATGGACAATATCTGGTTTATAGCGTTACTTTTCTTCGGTTTTTATCTGAAAATAAATTGATAATTATTTACTTACTCACCGGAATTATTCAACCTATACAGCGAGGCGATTCTCAGAGAATTAGAAGTCCTACCAGGATCCATTATTGGCAGCCACAATCTTAACAACATAAGATATTCAGATGACACAGCGTTGCTAATAGACACAGAAAGGAAATTACAAGAACTCTTACAGAAGGTAGTAAAAGAAAAAAACTAAACATCAATTGCAAGACAAAAATGCATGGTTCTTAGCAAAAGGAATGGTCCAATATGCAAATTATATTGACGATACCAAAATCAAACAAGGACAACAATTTAAATATCTGGGAAGTGTTTTTACAGAGGATGGAAAGTGCAACACTGAACTCCGAAGTTCCATTATCATTGCGAAAGGTGCCTTCCAAAACCTAAGCAAAATATTAAGAAACAGAAAACATTCGTCAGAAACAAAGTAAAGAGAACTGAAATGTTATGTAATATTAGTCCTATTATAAGACAGTGAATGCTGGACAATCTCTTCACAGATGAAGAAGAGACTTGAATCCACAGAAATGTCGTTCTATAAAAGGATGCTGAGAATACCATGGACTGAACATATAAGCAATGACGAAGTTTTAGAGAAATAGAACAAATAGAAACTTATAGCTAACATCAGGAAGAGACAGTTTAAATTTCCGAGGCACATAATGAGGAAAGAGGACTTGCAAAACTTGATACTCACAGGACAGATTGAAGGCAGAAAGGACACAAGAAAAACGCGTAATCTACCTCACGAGCTTGAGTAAATGGTTGGTAGAACAAGTTTTAAGAAAGATAACAAAAAGAGAAAAATTTTATTAAGAGCTACAAAGGACAGGAAGTTACAGGGAGCCATGATCACCAACGTCCTGAAAGGACACGGCATATAAAAGCAGATCGATGTCTTCTTTAAAGAAACTGTTTTTTTAAGGAATATATTCAAAATTATAATTTTTAAGGTTTAAGGAACAAATTTAATTTACTGTGGGGAAAACGTATATCATCCATCCACTCTGACTATAGGGAAAGTAATAGCAAAGACTGGGCTTGCTAGCCTTGGAGGATGTCTAGGAAAAACAAAAATTTTGAATTTAAAACCATATAGAAGCCAACAGAAAACCACTTCACTATCTTTCCTAAGATTTTATGGCAATTCAGTTAAGAGACAGAAGTTGTGGAAAGCCATAAACATCTACCTTCTGAAGAGACAAAGTGTTAAACAATAAACTTTTGTTACAATGGCTCACTAGCTATTATTTCAAGATGAGGCACAATGACCAAACATTTATAACTAGAAAAGATTAAAAAAAAAAAATTCATGGTGTCGTGCGAAAAATTCGCTTCTGTATACAACCCCGTCACTCTGCATTCTTATTAATCAACGATCATGTCACTTAAACCAATTTGTCAATTATCCTTTTTGTTCTTAATTACTGTTAATTGCACGTTTCATTTCAGGGACAACGAATGCGGTCGGTGTTAAGTTGTTTTTGTTTTATTATCACTTTCGGTTTTCAGCTTTCAAAAGATATTTTACGAGGAAAATCATTCAGATGTGTTAATTATTGGCGCCCTTGACAAGGCGTTGACGACCGAAATATGGAAGAAAAATATTTAGAGGAGAGGAATTCGGAAAACTATCAAGATTTTGTATGACAAAGAGATTCTGTTTCTTAGAGAAGAAACAGAAAATATTTTCTCGCTTTCATTGGCAGCGTTATTTATATCTACATGTTACCTTCACTTATTACGTATTTTTTCTTGTGTGCAATTAGCAACATTCTTTCTTCGTGTGACAAAAGTTTAACCCCCTGTTCATCACTCGACAGTTAATACTCATAATCTTTACTTAGCTTTTTAATTCGACAAAACATCTTCCCAGTGACGATCGAACTTATGCTACAAAAAACTCCTAACTCTTGATTCTACCACGCGTACTAGTTTTTTTCTTTCTTCTTCTTTTATGCACCAAGTTCTTTCAAGATGTGATTGTTCATGGATCTCCACTACTTCTTGTCTTTGTCTAAGTACCCTTTAACACTTTACCATCTTTGTTTGTCCCTGTTGTGCCATCTATCTACAAATTTCAGTAGGTACTTACTGTTTCACTCTTTTTTCTCTTACCTTCAATATGTCCTCTAAGCATTAACTTCCCATTACGTATCCCATGAATTTAAACTCTTTAATAACCATTTTTTTAGCAAAAAAATATTTAAATATTGAATGATCTTTGTGTTCGGAAGAAAATGTATAGTCTAGTTTCCTTCTATTGGGACTTTTCCTAAGGCTTGTAATCAGTTGACTGATTGTACAGGTAGCAAAATCACCGATCCAAATTTAACTAGACTTCTATGAAAACTGCGCAAATGATAGAAATGGAAATAGTTCGTATTATTTCCAATAACTCGTACAATTTTTAATATGAACATCCCTCTGTCGTCTTACTGGCAATATCGCCTTGCTTGGCGGTCACCTGATTTTTTGCTTGCCTTATTGGTATTCGTAATATCTGCTTATATCTCTGAGATGAGGTACAATGGTTACTTACATTATTTACATTATTCGGGCT